GGGCGTTACTACTTTTCTGGGACTATACGGGAATAGTAGGGTCCGGCCCCGGCACGACTATAGCCCTGTCTTTCCGCAGCCGAGACGAGTGCCAACGAACTGTCGGGTCGCTTGTGTAGGCTCCGGTTTCGACACTCCCAAACTGAACTGCGGGGCCTTAACCATCAGAACAGGATATGGAGGGGACGTTATACTAGAGTTATAATGGGGACCTAAATGGGCACAATACTACGATTTAGGCCCATCTATTATACAAGACACTGCTTTTTGGTTCATACTTGCACCCGGTTGGTAAAGGCCAAGAGGCCACAGCCATCCAGAGAAGGTGGCCCACGATCGTCCAAGAGAGGTTAAAAGAAATCACAGCAGGCAAATCCGGCCGAAAGATCAGCCGCAGCTGCATGAAAACCACAACCGTGAGCCTTGCCAGTCTTCACGTTTTAGGAGTTTAGGGTTTAGGGNNGGTTTAGGGCTTGGGGGTTTTGGGGCTCTGGGGTTTAGGGTTTAGGGGTTTAGGGGTTTAGGGGTTTAGGGTTTTGGGGTTTAAGGTTTAGGGCTTGGGGGTTTTGGGGCTTTGGGGTTTAGGGTTTAGGGGTTTAGGGGTTTGGGGGTTTTAGGGTTTAGGGCTTGGGGGTTTTGTTGCCAAACGGCAAACCAGTTCCATAAGCCCTAAGCTGAAGCAAGAAGCAGCAGCGCCGTGTTTATCCCGACGATCTTGCGGCTGATGCTGTAGCGAAGCGCGAGCGCTTCTTTGCGAATCATGTCACAGCCTGGGTCGGCTTCGAAGTTTGGTGTTTGGGTAGGGTTTGGGGATTAGGGTATAGGCTTAAGGGATCCTGTGAGGACTTGTTGAAGTTAGGGGGCCTTTTTGGGAACCTTATCCGATACTGAGGATTCGATTATGCAGAGGTCTATTTCAGGCTCCGTTATTCTCTGGAAATTCCTCTGCACACCCTTGCGGCCTAAAGCAGTCCAGCTGGGAGGATCAAGGGTCAAACTTTACAAGCGGTCAAGCACTGAAGTGTTCTATAGCAAACCCCTACAAGTTGAAAACCGGATTAAGGACAAATAGTGCTAGGATTCCTTATACAGTACTCTTAAGGATTGAGGCTATTGGGTTTCCAAGTTTTGGGCTGCTACTGTAGAACGTCTCGACGTCGCCTAATATGACTCTTACCTCAACCTGAGCAGGATCGAATGACAGTGACGCCGAATAAAAAATTCTGTCCTGCAAAGTCCTGCACAGGAACGTGAGACCTCAACAACCATAATACAAAACCACTCTTGCAGCTGAACCTGCCGAGCTAAATCAGAATGGCTTAGGGGCTCTATTACCCTAACGAGCTTGCTACCCAGGGTGGGTACTACAGCTATAGAGACTAGACCCAAACCCTAACCCATAATCAACCCTAATAGTGTTTGTGGGCGAGGAGTTCTGGACACGCTAACTTATAAACGAGCTGTAGAGTAGAAATGCTGGTGACAGTATCAAAAGATCCCAAGCCTCAAAACCTAAACCCAAAGCCCTAAAAACGTAGCCTTTACCGTAGCATGAGGGGGATGCAGACGGCCAGCAGAGAGCACACAGAGCATGCAAGCTGCAACACCTCGGCACCCACGAATGATCCGCAGCGACGTCGCGAGTGATGAAAAGAGAAGCCCCAGAGCATTTTGAGGTTTAGGTTTTTTGGATTTTAGCTCAAGCCTGCCCACATCTTAGGAATCAAAGCGTCGATATCGTCGTCCGTGCAGAGCGCATGCAGGAAAGTAACCCAGTCTGCCTCTCGCAATCGAGGCCGCACGTTCAGAACCACTGCCGGAGCACTTAGGCCAAAAGCTCTCACGTGCAGAAGATCTGGTACTTCAGCAGCTGGCAACCGAAACCTGGAATCTTTCGTTGTAGCTGAAGGAGGGGTGGCGCGGAAGCAAGCGACCACCCCAGATTTATGGCAGGGCTGCAGCCTTAAACCCTAACCTAAAATCCCAAACCCCCGAACCCTAAGCCCTAAAGCTGCTACAAACCAAAGACGGCACAAGAGACCCGATCAAACCCTTAACTAGGAGATAGGATTAGGGGGACCCATGGGGATATATACCCTCTCAATAAGGTCCCTTTTCAGAGAGCCACAAGTAGGGTTCAGAAGGGCCCCCTTTAAGGGTCTCCCTTATCCTACCTAGGATAAACCAACAACCCGAACTGAACTAATATAGGGGCCTGAGCCTTAATGATTAGAATTGGGGTTTTGGGGCCCATGATACTATAATTCTACTACGGAACCCCCAGAATAGTGTTGGTACTTATTTAGGCCCCGACATGAAGCGCAGATCCTTTAGAATTTAGGGTTTAGGAATTAGGGTTTAGGAATTAGGGTTTAGGGTTTAGGGTTTAGGGTGTAGAACCAGCTTTGGAACCCGGTTTTGGGCTTGGCTTCTGCGGCTGGGAATCTTGACAAGGCTCAGGGAGGGGACGGGTCAAAGAAGCTTCCGTAGTTTCGGTTTAGGGTTTAGGGTTTAGGGTTTAGGGTTTAGGGTTTAGGGTTTAGGGTTTAGGGAAGCTCTAGAACAAGATAGGGTTTCGTGTGGGTCTATGGGTAATTTAAGCCGTTTCATGAGGGCATTCTCCTAAGCAGTGCTTAGGGTCGTGGGCCGTGGGCTTAGGGCCGAGGATTTAAGCTTCCTGGCCCAGGCGCTTGCAGACGCAGACTTGGGTGGACCGAAGATGAGCGACTTCAACGTCCACCTCACCAGCTTGCACAGCTCTGGATTCATGGGTTAGGGCCTGACAAGAACCCTATATGAAACCTAAACCCAACTCGATCAAGGGAGGGCTATGAGGTTGGCCATCAAGGTCCGAAACTTACAACCCTAGACGCTAAGCCGCAAAGCCTTAAACTCTAGCCCCTCTGCTCCAAGCTGCTAGGGTTTAGGGTTTAGGGTTTAGGGTTCAGGGTTTAGGGTTTAGGGTTTAGGGTTTAGGGTTTAGGGTTCAGGGTTTAGGGTTTACTTAGGCGTGCTTTTAGGGCTTAGGGCTTCAGACACAGAGCTTCAGGGTTTGGAGACTAGCCATCCAGGCCAAAGCCATGGGACCCGCTGAAGCCGAACAGGGCTTAGGGGTTTAGGGGTTTGGAACTTTATGGGTTTATGGGTTTATGGGTTCATGGGTTTATGGGTTTATGGGTTTAGGGTTTAGGGTTTTTTTTTTAAATGCAATGCGCCCCTTTGACTCCCGCAGCAGGTCAGACCGTACCCTATTGGGTTGCACCAAAGCAAAAGGTTACAAGCCTCACTCATCCACTTGGACCTTCAAAGACGACTTGCCCAGCATCCTTTGCAACGAAGACAACATCAAGCTTTAGGCATCACCGTCATCGCCCACAAAGTCAGTCCACTTCATCTTCTTCATCTCCAGAAATCCCAGCATCATCCTGAAGAGACCTCAGAGAAAACGGAAGAGTGGTAGCAACAGGGAGGCCGACGGCATCATTCGGAGGAGACGAACTTTCCGCACTTTCATCATCCGGTAGAGGTCGAGGATGTTCTTCATCAGCTTCGGCATCCGGTCGAGGACGAGGAGGTTCTTCCGCAGCACCAGGACGTGGATGAAGAGGTTCTCCAGAAGCTCCAGGTAGAGGTGGACGAAGAGATTCTCCAGCAGCAGCAGGTAGAGGTGGTGCAAGCTCATAGCGACGATAATTTGGTGCTGGTCGACCACGTCGTCTACCACCAACACCATACATCATGCGACGTATGTCGTCAAGCGAGGAGGAGGCTGTAGAAGTCATCCTAGCCGTACTATCACGGCTTCGCGAGCGATCCGGACGAGCCGCAGAAGACGCCGCAGTTTGCACTCCAGAATCGATCATGCTCGGAGGAGGCCGTTGCTGGAGATAACGACGACGCCCTCCCACACCAAACAGCGTACGGTGAAGGTTGGGCCTTTCCGGCAGGTCACCGAAAGTCGTGGCATCAGGGCGAACTTCCTCATCAGCCTGCACGATGAAGAGCTCCTCCCACGAAGGTGGCGTCCGTGCTTGCTCCGGCCAGATGTTCACAATGTGACGACGCCATCCCCTACGACGCAGACCAGCCAGGCGACGGGGAGAGAAGCCCGGCAAAGCTCGACCAATCTCGTCCCTCGTAGGTAACCCGGGCGAAAGGAGAACCACAGGGGCAGATGCGTGAACTGCCGGCGGGCGGGCCGGACCAGATGAGCCTGCCGATGCCTGAGCAACAACCTCATCCCAGACATTGGTCTCCACCATGGCTGCGTTGAGCGGGTAGGCCTCCCGAGCACTCGTCAACCACGTCAGCACTTCTTCCATTGCAACCTGATTGAACCGGAGGCAGTGGTGAAGACGACGCTGGCGATCCTGAAGACGACGAAGGATGTCAATGATGTCAACCCGCGAGCATAGGAGAAGGTTACGGTTGACTGTGTCACGAACTTGGTCCTCCGGGTAGGCTGGGCGTGTTGTCGAAGAAGTGTGTAGGCTTTTCTGCTGTTTAAGAGTGTAAGGTACAACCCTAAACCCTAAACCTTTAGGGTCTAGGTCAACAGGTCCATCAGGTTGAAGTCCCTGCATCGGGCTTAGTATGAGCTACCGCTCTAGGGGGAAATCGCAAACAAAACGTTCTTCTTATGATCCCTAAACCTTCACCTCTAAAGAACCCCCTAGACCCTAAACCCTAAACCCTGAACCCTAAACCCACAAGAAGCCGGTCTCAGAAAGTTGTGGTTCAAGGTCAGGTTCAAAGCATTGGACAAAAACCGGTCGCCATCGTGAGCTCTGTGAGGGCAGGGCTGATACTAGAAGCCTTCGTGGAAGCAAAAAAGGCAAAGGGTATAGGGTTTCCTAAACCCTAAACACCTAATCCCTAAATCCTTTAGGCCCTAGGAGGAGGAGGAGGAGGAGGGGGCAGGAGCAGCTGCATTTCAGAGAGGAACGACCTTTGCATCACAACCCTAAACCATGAATTCTTTCGTCGCAAAGACCAGCCGATGGATTCTAGACTCTGCACACCAGAAATCCAGATTGCCTAGATGAGAAGCCACCACCTAGTCGAAGATCGAAACAAGGAAGCTCGCATTCTTTGCACAGGGCTGGTGATTGATTCAGGGTTGGAGGTTTTACGGGGGTCTGAGCTTCAGTTGAAAGTCGGAGTATACCCTGAGCTTAGGATTTGGGGTTAAGGGTTTAGGGCTTAGGGCCTGAATCCGAAGCCACAAACACCCGAGAAGCAAGACACCAAAACCATAAACTCTAAACCGTGAAATCCTCCAACCATGAGACCGTGAGCCATCGGCCCGAAACCGCAAACCCTAAACCCAACCTTCAGCCCTACACAGAAACCTCCAAAGCTCCAAGACCGCGCCTCAAAAATCTCAAGGCCCTCAATAGCGGCGTCTTCTGATTCCATGCCCTGTACCTGTTGGCTGCTCGGAACAGGTAGGGATTCGGATTGAAGTGCTCAGGTTCACGGAAGGGTTCATTTAGGAGATCAGGGTTTGTTTCGGGGCTTTAGAGTTTTTTAGTTCATGTAAAGGATATTGAGGGACTTTGGGTTAAGGGGTGATAGGGTTTAAACGCAATCTCTGAACTCTTCACCTGCTAAGCATCCATAAACACCCGGTGCGATAACGCCAAGCCGGTCTGTAATAGGGCTTAGGGTGTAGGGTTCAAGGTTTCTTGAAGGATCAAAACGCCATAAGCAGGAATGAATTTAAATGCAGAGATATGACAGAGTAAAGTCATCTAGCCCAGTGAAGTCATCACCATGTACCCCCGCACCCTACACCCGCCATCCCCACACCCTGAACCCCATTCACCGAAACCCTGAACCGAAAAAACAAACCGCAAACACTCTGAAACCCAACCTAAACCTGTTCCAAACCCTATTCGAAACCTGTAAAAATTGAAACACTCTGAACCCTGAAACCCAAAATCTATAGAAGCTAATTAAACTCTAAACCGAAAGCTCCAACCTCTAAAAAAAAGGCCAAAGGTGCGCTAACCGGCCCGCGATCAGGGCCTCCCAGGTGGTTTTCGGGAGAGTTTGGTTGAGCATCACAGATTTCATAAGGGTTTTACGGGGCCTTTCTATGGATTTTTACAACGGGTTCCATCGTGGTTTATGGGGGCTGCATAGGGTGCAGGTTTTGTGGGACTGAAGGTCATGGCTAAGACTGGAATTTCAGTAGTCTTCCTTTGTTAAACAGCTCTCTCGTGCAAAGAACCATAGGTAACCTTTACCTTAACCCCAAATAACCTACCTTTTTGAGGACTTCTATAAAGAAATCATAATAAAGACCCCTAACAAAGTAGGTTCTTTAGGGTCCAGGTATGCCCTGCAAGAGCCCCCAAAAATCCGTATGAAACCTAGAAACATCCAGTACTGCGCTTTGGGTTTAGGGTTTAGGGTTTAGGGTTTAGGGCTTAGGGCTTATACCCCCCCCCCCCCCGTGCAATCCTCATGAAACCCTCGAAGGAAAATGCAGGAGCAGAGCGGAGTCAACTGGAAAACTTATGCAAAGACTCTGTTGATGGCTTGAGGTGGAAGATTTTGCGTGTGGCTGACCTTTCATATAGAGGTCAGAAAAATGTCGATGACATTATGCCCTTAAAGTCCCATCGAGCTTGAATCTTCAACCTCTTGTGACATGACGTATCGCTACACTTGTAATTCAAATCTCGGTTTCAGCCGGAGACCGTCGGCTTCCATTGATGCTGCAATAATTTCACCTTGCCTCATAATGGGCTTCAACCTCTAACTCACTTCAATCGTGCTCTCAAACGTTGAACCGCCAGATGGTCCGTTTTAAACTAAGTTCCACTCTGATGCTCGCTTGGCCTCACAAGTCTCTGAACTCGTTTTGCACTACAGGGATACTCTGTGTCATAGTGTGGGGAAGGACACGCCAGGGATACTGTACCACGGCCCTAGGCCCCGAAACCTCAACTAACCAAAAAAGCAAGACCAGAATGCCCGGTTTAGGGTTTGGGGGTTTAGGGTTTAGGGAAGTTTAGGGCTTAGGCACACCACCCCAAACCATAACCCTGACAAGAAACCCCTAACCCTAAACCCAAAACCCCTGAACCCTAAACCCCTAAACCCAAAACCCCTAAACCCTAAACCCTAAACCCCTAAACCCTCAACCCTATATCCTAAACCCTAAACCCTAACTTCCAAAGTCACCCTCTGGCCCCACCTCGATGCCAAAGGTTGCTGCCAGAAACGCTTGGGAGAGGCTGGGGCCATCGTCATACTCCATTGGGGCAGTTCTCTAAACTAGGGTCCCCAATAATTATAGTACGGCACCCTTATAAAAAAGGACCCCTAACTTAAAGAACTACTCCATTGGCAGATCCTCTACACGACACACTCAACTCCGCACTACTACCCTAATCTGGGGTTTAGGGTTTAGGGTTTAGGGTTTAGGGTTTAGGGTTTAGGGTTTAGGGTTTAGGGTTTAGGGTTTGGGGTTTAGGGTTTGGTAAACCCTAAACCCTAAAGCCCTAATCCGAATCACTAAAGCCTCCACCGAAAAGGAACCATCATAAGAGCCCTTGCAGGGACCAAAATCCCGGTATCGATCCCTGGCCGCTCGCTACATAGGCCTAGGGTTTAGGGTTTAGGCTTTGGGGGTTTAGGGTTTAGGGTTTCAGGGCTTTCTCCCATACCCGAAATTCCGAAACCCGAAACCCTATGGCCCTATTTGTGACTCCCGAGACGCCTAAAGGTGCGAAACTGGAGGCGCCGATATTTCGAGCCCAAATCGGCGCTGCGGGGATCGCCTGACTGCATGGCCTGCCCTCCTAAACCCAAAGCCCCATCAAGCTTACTTGCATTACTATTGATACGAACAGTATGGTTATGATTATTACTGCTATTATTATTAGTACTAGTATTGTATTTACTAGTTCTTTTAGTATTCCATTTATTCATGTTCTTACTAATAGGCTTATATTTATGAGCATTCGTTATAATATATTTTCGTGTAATTTCTGAACTGCTCTTATGATGATTAGTTCAGGGGTGCTAGGCTTTCTGGGTTCGGCTGTAGGGTCGGGGTGTGAAGACCTTCAGTTTTATAGGCTTCCTTCGAAGCTGCTAAGAAGGTTCCTCTGGGGTTTAGGGTTTAGGGGGTGGG